GGGTCTGCTCGGTGAAAGAAAGCTTACAAAACAATCAAGTATTACTTCCCTTTTTCTGATAGGCTTGAGGAGTCACGCTCGGCGGCAGGATGCCAGGGAGAGGGTGCTTCTTGCCCCCGCACCACTGTGACCGCACACCTGCGCGCGGCAGTGGAAGTGACTGCCAAGAGCTTAGATTCCAGAGCCCGACGGTGCGGGCCCGCGCTCCGTCCTTCCCACTCAGCAGCTCCATGGTCTTGACCAGCTTCCCCAGTGATCTCGCTGCTTTGTCTGTAAAATGCAGAACTGATACTACTCACGCCTCCCTTACAGGACTGCCAGGGCTTCAGTGAAATAATGGAAATGGGGTCCATAGTAGGCTCCAAATATATACAGTTGAACCTTGAACAACACCGGTTGGAGGCAGCAAACATCTTGTGAAATAAAAAACCCACGTGTATGGGAGCCTGGGGGGCTCAGTCGGTTAAGCCTCCAACTTCGGCTCAGGTCATGATCTCACGGTTCGTGGGTTCAAGCCCCGTGTTGGGCTCTGTGCTGACAGCTAGGAGCCTGGAGCCTGCTTCAGATTCTGTGTCTCCCTCTCTCTCTGACCCTCCCCTGCTCACACTGTCTCTCTCTCTCTCTCTGCCCCTCCCGTGCTCACGCTCTGTCTCTCTCTCAAAAATAAATAAACATTAAAAAATGTTTTAAATAGAAAGAAGTTACACATTAACACGTAAAACTGTTCTATTCTCGATGCAGGCCTAGGGAAGTTTCAAGAGCCTTTGAAAATGTTTGAGCTCCAAACTATGGGGTGGGGGAGGGGGAGGGCAACACACTGCAAAACCCGAATCCATAAATGTTTAATTAAACACACAGGAAAACTAGCGTCATGTTCCGTTCATTAATTGCCTCATCTAGTCAGCATAAAAGTATCATTACACTTCATTATATTTGAAATGAATTTATAGGTGAAATCTTCTCATTTCGCCAGAAGTCCCAAAACACTGGACACCCAGTGAGGAAATCGTGGCCAGTTGTAATTAATGAATTTCTTGTAGGCAAAGAATTTTGGTAGTAACACCATCAAAACCTCTTTGGATTATAAAAATGAACGTTAGATGTGAATTCATTTTAGGACATTTGTTGGGATGTCGGGAAGGGCTTTCTGTGGAGAGCTGGGGTGGGGAGGAGGTGAGAACAGCCTGGCGCTGCCTCTCTCCCTCCCCTCGCCCACCCCTTGCCCACCTTCCTCAAGCACCACGGCCACCTTTCCCCACTCACCTTGGATGCAAACCTCCCAGTGGCTTTTCCTTTGCTCTCAGAGAAAATCTCAAGTTTGCCACAACCATTGGTGTCCTGACCACTGCCAACCCCTCCCCCACCCCGGCTCACTTTACTGGCCAGCACAGCTGGGCAGAGTGGGCACCCTGAACTTGGCCTGAGCCACTCATCAGTCCTGAATTGGGCAATGTGGCCTCTTCGACATCTGGAGTGAGAAGTGGATCTGGAAACCAGCAAGGAGAGGCCTTCTTTCTCCCCCACCATGGGCCCCAGCTCGGGGCCGGGGATAAAGAAAACATAAAACATTATTTGGTGAAAGACTGTTTGAAATGGGGATGCTTTTGTCATGGCAGGGAAGGACAGCTGGGGATCAGAGGCTGATGAGACAAACAGCTTCTGTTTACTGAGCACATACTATGTGCTGTTTGCTGAACACATACTATGTCCTCAGTACTCCGTTAGGACCTAGATGTATGATGGAGATAATTGAACTCCTGCAATGACCTCAGAAAAGTAGTTGCTGCTTTGATCCCTTTTTCCAGCAGGGGAAACTGAGGCTCGGAAATAGTGACTTGCTTCGGGCCCTCATCTAGAAAGCAGGGGTGCCAGAGCCCGGACCCCAGGTCTGTCCACCTCCAGGGGACACAGATGATAAGGGGAAACCCACTGAGCCCTGCCTTGCCGGGCGGCGAGGAGAGCCAAAGCAGGTCCCTGGGGAGGCTGCCACGGAGACCCCACGGCCTGTGGCAAAGCGGCGTACCCGGGGCTTTGTGCCTCGCCCGCTGTTCATAGCCCTCGCGACCACGCGCGATCCCTGTGTCCCCCGGCCGCCTCGGGATCTCCCGTCTTTGCCCCCGACCCAAGGCGCCTTATTACCCACGTTTGGTGCCTTCAGCCCTCCCCACTCCCTCCCCCGAGGTGAATTCACAGCGAACCTGTGACAGCGACATCCAAGCTGCCTGGTAGAAAGGAGTCTGGGTTTTGCCAACACAATGTGCAGTAAAAATATCTCTCTTTTAAAAGAGAGAGGGAGAGAAACTTAAAGGCTGGAGATCAGTAACATGTAATTATCATCTGGTTTGGGCGGAGAGTTCTAATAGTTTCCAGAAAAACACAAACCACGAAAAAGGAATGTGCTTTCCACGGCGAGAAGAGGTCTGGGCTCCGGCTCGCAGCGGCCCCGTCGTGGGGCCTCTGAGGCGCTTCCCACGCGGAGGAGGGAGACGCCTGTCCCTTCCTCTCCTGGTTTGCCTTCCATGCTGCGCGGAAGGCTCTGAAAATGTGGAAGCTGCCTTTGAACTCAGCCTCGAACCCGCTCAGTAAATAGGCTCTTGTGAGTGGCCATGCAGAGGGGGCACAGAGGGGCATCCAAGCTCCTTCCTTGAGGGAACAACAGAGCCTCGTAATGGCAGAGACAGCTTGGTCTCCTCCAGTCCTCCAATACTTATTGTCTTCTATTTTGAAATAATAACCCCCCCCAATTTTAGCTCAGCGCATTGTGACACAGAAAGTACCATCTTTCCCCCACCTTCCTTGCTGGGCCATGGCACTAATGGGATGTCGGTTTAATGTGTGTGCAACTTAAGATACTTGTCCTTCTTCTTTTTCCTCCTTCCTGCTGGAAGGAATGAAGATGTGATGGCCGGAGCTTGAGCAGCCATCCTTGAACATGAGGCCAACCTGGGAATGGAGGCCACAGAGGGCAGAGCAACAAAATAGCGAGGCCAGAGACTCGACACCGTGGTGTGCCACACCAAACCCGGACCAGCCACCCTACTGTCATGGGAGAAAGCAAAGAAGCAGCTGCATTGTGTAAACCACTGATATTTGGGTCGAAGACCATCCTTAGAGTCAAAATTGCCTTGAAAACCTCTTAAACTGAGAAATGCAGTTCAAGACCATCCAGATCTTTAAAAGTGAGACTCCCACTCCCTGGGGTGAGCACTCACAAATTCCAGACACGATGGGGTGCAAGGGAATGCTTTGGGGTTTTGGTTTTTTGTGTGTTTGTTTCTGGTGCCTAAAGTTATACTGTGAAGATCATATCACATTTTCCAAGTTTTGCTGCATGTGCTTTTTCTTGTTTATTATCTCTGTTTTATAATTAAAGAAACCGCGGCCCGGAGAGGCAGTGACACAGGGCTGTAGCTGGGGCCTGTCCTGGAGAGGAAGGCCAGGCAGAATCCTTGTCCAGGAGCACCCCCTCCCCCCCGAGGAGTGCTGGCTTTCCGGAAATACCGGTTCCCCTGCAGGTCCAGAGCCAGCATGCGAGCCCCACCCCACGTGGCTTCAGGATGCAGCGGGGAGGGAGGGGCACACAGGGAGACAGGGGCATGAAGGGGCAGAAAGCGGCCATCCGAACACTGTCCAGACGGACACAGGCCATGAGGGTGCCGGCCTCCACCACCGAAGCACAGCTCGTCCTTCCGGAAGTGAATCTCTCAGCCTGACCTGCAAGCCTACAAGCACCGGCTCAAGGCCAAGTCCAGGACCTCAGGCCTCCACACTAAGAGGTCAGCAGCACGCAGGGAAGGAGCCAAAGATCCTGAGAAAGAGAGGCCGGGGAGGATGGGGAGAAGCCCGGAGTGGGACCACACAGAGTCGGAGATTCCCTGGGCGATGGGGATGGGTGGGAGGTCCCCCTATGTCAGGCAGTGAGACCAGGAGCCGCCCCAGGTCCAGGTTGGTGAGTGAGCGCCACCTGGTGGCCTGTCCCGGCACGTCACCCCCCACCCCCTCACTGGGGGGCTCCCCAGAGCCTCCTCCCTCAGGGCGCCTCCACAATCTCCCTCAACACCCCCGTTACCCCGCACTTAAAGTCGATATTGTCACTTCCTAGGGAGAAACACCTTTTTGGTTTTACCCCAAAGAGGAACAAAGTCCAATGCAATTTCCTGTTGGTACTGAGCGCCCCAGGAGGCAGAGGCAGAGTCCTCCCCAGGGACCTCGCCCCGCCACTGCTCCGGGCGAGCCAGCCCCCTCCCTTCGCAGAAATGCTAGCGCAAAGTCCCCCGGAGGGCAGGGCCAGACCCTCCCCAGGCCTCTGCAGCTGGGACCCAGAGCCCCGATTTCCAGGGCTGAGTTCTTGACCCTCCTGGGCGCCTGGCCGCTGCAGGCGCCCGTTTCCCCTCCTACTACCTTGTAAAGAACAGGGGCTCGGAACTACCTGGGAGTCAGTGGCCCCTTTGAAATAAATGAAAGTGATGGGTCCCTTTTCTGGGGATGTGCGTGCTCAGCTGGGCTCATGACCGGAGACGGAACCGGGGAAATCTGGCCAAACTGTTTCAACTGGATTACCCTCCTTGGTCCTTGCCAGGTCCTCCTGATGTACCTACTTTTTCATTAGCCCCATTTTACAGATGAGGAAACAGAGGCACAAATAAGTTTAAAAAAAACTTGCCCGGAGTCACACAGTCAGGAAATCGTGGGGCTGGGGTAGAACCCAGCCTTGGACAAGTGACCCCACCGACCTAAGCCTCAGTGTCCCCTCTGAGCAAAGACATCAGGACCAGACCCCTCCCCCCCCCAATAGGTGAGTCAGAGGGGCATACGAGATTGGAAAGCATACGGTAGGTGCTCATTAAAAAGAGCTGTCATTTTGATCCGCGCACAATTGGTCCCGGGATACCCAGCCACCTCCTGGGTGCCTCAGCCAACATGTGGGTAGGTCAGGGCGGGCAGTGGCCAGAGCCCAGAGGGCCAGGAAAGCCCCGTGTTTACAGAGAATGCTCCCGTCTCACCGAGCTCAGCTCCTTCCTTCCAGCTTGTAGCCAGAGGCTTTGCTCATCGATTCTGCTTTCAATTTTGTTTCTTTCTAAAGCCACACACAGGAGTTTCGTTTTCTTTTTTGCCAGAAAGCTCATCGGGGTGACAAGCCCTGATTCTGGGGTGTGAACGGCAAACGCCGACCCCCCCTCGCAGCCGCAGATGCACCAAGTTCAGCCACGTCAGAACAGCTCATCGGGACCGGCCCCTCCTCTCCGAGCCTCAGTGCAGGAGCCTCCGCGCTGCCCTGAAGGCTCCGGGGTCCAGCGGCGGCCGCCAGCATGGCCCAGGCCCCCGAGGACCCTGGCGAAGCAGGTACTTTCTTCCGTCTAAGGAATAGCGGGTGTTCTCAGTGGGGTTTGCACCCCTCTTTCTGGCTCTTTTCCTTGGCCCGCTTACAGCAATGATAGCCGACCATATACCCCCAAGCACAGGGGTGAGGAGAGAAGAGGTGAGGCTAGGGTGCGGTCGGGGAGGCCCCCGCGGAGGCAGCGCTGTGAAGTTGCCATCTTATCCAGGAGATCACTGAGGCTTCTCGAGGAGGCGTGAGTCAGGGCCTCACAGCTGACACTGGGCTCTGCTCACGCGTCCGCACGCTCGTGTTAAGAAACAATGAGTTGCTTTGAGGAGAGGCATCCGTGCACTTCTGTGTTGCCCTCAGCTAACCCTTCACTCCTGGAAGAATATACCAGCGAACCGTGTACTGGGCAAGGGCTGTGTTCTACAGGGCTTGTGGGCTGTGGGCTGTGGGCTGTGGGCTGAGGGTTTTGTTCTGTTATCATTAGCTCATTTATTCATCACTACCATCCTTGAGGTACCTGCTCCTACCCCCACTTCACAGATGGGAAAAGTGAGGCACAGAGAGATCACACAGCCTGTGGCTCGCAGAGCTGGGGCTCAAACCCAAGGACCCAGCCGTCAGGGAACCAGAAAGAGGAAAAGCAGTGCCCTGGGGAGGGGCGCCCGCTGGTGCAGCCCAGGGCCGGGCTGGTTCCCCAGGGGGCACGTGTGGGCACTCCTCTCTCGGTGGCTGAACTTAACTTCTCCCTTCCAGGTTTATCTTTCCTTACCAACTTGTCACTTACACCTCATCCGTTTTGCAGCTTCCCATTTACAGACTCAGGGACCTGAAGACCCAGCACACGTGGCCAGCCAGCCCTTCGGGCTCGGCCTTCACTTTGATCTCCAGCCCCAGGGCTCCTTTGGGGTCAGGGGCGTGGAGGAGGAGGGAGGGGGAGAGGCTTACCCGGAGGCGGCAGGCTTTTCAAGAATCAGAACTCTTTCCAAGAGCAGGCAGGCAGAGCCGGGCTTGCTCAGTCGGCCGGGGCTCTCCAGCCGCTGGAGGCAGAACTTGGCGGGTGCAGGGGTGGGTGCCCGCAGGCATCCTGACCGCACCGCCCCTGCGGCCAGCAAGGTCGGGCCTGTCCTGGTCACGGCCCGGCCGCGGAGCGAGCAAACGCTTCACCCCTTCCCCCGCTGGCGCTGCCACCAAGGAGCCTGGGGGGACCCAGAAGGCAGAGTTTTCACGCTGCTGCCCTGCAAGGGGCCCCGGGTCTTCCCAAGGACGACCCTGCTTTGATTTTCTCTTGGGGGTTTTGGGGGGCAGACGTTTCCTGGCAAGAGGCGAGGCTGCCCCCCACAGGGCCCCCTCCAGCTGGCCGGGCCCTGCCCTGCATCGTCCGGCCAGACACCTGTCCCCGCGGTGGGTGGACCCACACAGTCACTCGTTTATTCAAATGCTGTTTCCTGAGCACGTACTGTGTGCCCGGCGCTGTGCCAGATGCCAAAGACGCTGCCGTGGCCCGGCAATCACAGCGGGGGCCCTGGAGCCATTCTGCACGGGACCCACCCCCACCCACGCACAGCACCCCACCCCCTGGGGCATCGGGCGGCTCCCTACAAGAGACGGTGCTTGAGTGAGACCTGGAGGCTGAGTCGATGTTGGGGGGCGTGGAGAGGCAGGAGTGTGTTTCTGGCAGAGGGGACACTATGTGCAAAGGCCCAGGGGTGAGCGGCCTGGGTGAGGGATGGGGGTGGAGGCACAGAGCGGGAGAAGGGGTTCGAGAGAGCAGGGGACAGTGTTTCCAGGCCTCTCTGGAACTGGGCTTCAGGGAGAAAGGTCCGTTTCTGAATGTCTGTGTCTTCCTGGCTTCGACGAACACCTTCACCACCGAGTGGATGGGGAGCCCCCCCCCCCCAGGAGGGACAGAGGATGCAGGGGGCGGAGACTCTGCCTCCCTCCCCGCTCCTTCCTGCTCCCCTCCCCTCAATCAACCGCCTCTGCCACCTTCCGCTGCCCTGTGTTCTCAGGGTGTCTGAGGGCTGAGTGCCCTCCCCCTTGCCCTCCAGCGCTCACACCAGGCAGAGGATGCTCAGAAGTCTGGGGCGCCTCCTCTGTCACCAGGCTGTCTGGCCAAGGGCATTTCTTTTTTCTTATTTTTAATTTTGAGAGAGAGAAAGACAGACTCGGGGTGGGGAGGGGCAGAGAGAGAGGGAGACACAGGATCTGAAGCAGCTCCAGGCTCCGAGCTGTCAGCACAGAGCCCGACCCGGGGCTCGAACCCACAAACCACGAGATCATGACCTGAGCCGATGTCGGATGCTTAACTGACTGAGCCCCTCGGGTTCCCCTGGCCCACGTCATTTCTGACCACCTTCTCACTGAACAGAGGCGTTGTTAGTGAATGTCTGCTCGGGCATCTGCCCCCCACCCCCCACCCGCCCAGGTCACACCGGGGACCGGCCGTGCCTCCCACCCGAGCTCCCAGCCCCGCTTGATGCAGGGGGGACCCCGTTCTCCCTCCGCCCTCTCTCCCTCCTCCCAGACCTTGAGCAGAGGATCCTGAGGGCACTGCGGGCCGCCGGCTCCCCTGTGAAGTCCGTCCAGCTGGCAAAGGAATGCCGGGTGCCCAAGAAGAAACTCAACCAAGTCCTCTACCGGATGCAGAAGGAGTCGAAAGTCTCCCTGGCCGGCCTGGCGCTTTGGCGCCTGGGCGAGGGAGGGACTGGAGAGGTGGTGCCCGCAGAGCCGGCGCAGCTCAGCCAGGGTAAGAGCCATCCTGGCAGTGGACGAGCCAGGCCCAGGCCCGGGTTCAATACAGTCCCTGCCCCTCGAAGGTGCCTAGATGTCCTTGTCTGGCCAGCGGACATAGTAGCAGGTCCGCCATTGCCAGGGGTGAGGTGGGAAGGGCTCACCTTCATGCGCGCACGCAGCAGGCGCTCAGCAGAGCCTGAGTAATAACATCGACGACAGTAGCAGTGACGATAATAGTAGAGCAGGCTTGGCCTCGCGCAGGGTCCCCTCCTACAGCGCTGACTTCAGTCAGACGCTCGCGGTGCTGACGCTGGACCAGAGAGGTGCGTCAGCAGGTACGCGGCACAGCCGTGGAGTCAGGGCAGGTCTGAAGGCAGGCGCGTTTAGCTCTGGACTCGGGGTCCCGATCTCCCTCGCGCCGGCGCCACCTTCGTCCCGTGGAGTCCCCGTCCCCTCTCCTGGCCTCCGCCCCCTGACCCCCGCCCTTTCTCCGGCAGCGAGGCCCCAGCCAGACGCAGCGGCAATTCCAGAGGGACCTGGCCCTCAGCTCAGTGAACAGCGTAAGCATCCCCTTCCCTTCCAGCTCCTGGGCCCTGGGGCCTCCGACCCCGAGCTCTCCTTGTCCCCTCGAGACGTGACACCTCAGCCGCCAGGAGTCCCCACAAAACATCCGGGGGGAAGACCCGGTCTGCGCCGCGGAAGGCCCGAATGCACAGACGCTGTCTCTGCGATCGGTGGTCAACGCCGGGCGCCCTGACCACCTCTGTGCGGCGCTGTTCTTACGAACCACGGGCTCCAGACGGGGACCCTGGCCAAGGGGGCCCGGGGCTCCCCCAAGCTTGCACAGCTGGCAAGCGGTGGAGCAGATTCAAACTCTGGGGTCCTCCTTAACCACCCGCCGCCCTGCCTCGCAGAGAAAGCCATCTACAAGTTCCTGGAAGGCTCTGGGCCCTGTAAGGCTCTGATCATCGCCCAGGCCCTGGGAATGAAGACAGCAAGAGAAGTGAACCCAGGCTTGTATGATATGAGGAAGAAGCACCTTCTGAATCTTGATGAGAAATCGAGCGTGTGGTCCATTTATCGGCCAGGTAGGTGCTCACCTGCTGTGCACAGGTGGGTGGGGCAGGGTTGTGGAGAGAAACCCTAACACCCGATGCTTGCTCCTTGCTTGGGCGCCCCGGCGGGCACTTGGCCAGCCCTACCCTCCCTGTCAGACCCTCACAGCAGGGGTCTAGCTGACGAGTCACTGGAAGGCCAGGTACCCGGAGGGCGAGTGTGCTGGTGAGAGCAACCAAGGAGGGTTTCCTGGAGGAGTGGCCTGAGGCTGCAGCTTCAGAAAGCAAAGGACCACGAAGGGAGGTGGCCCGCTCCTGACCGTCTCAGCCCTGGGATGTGGGGCTCGGCCTGTTTGCTAACACTTTCCTGTCAGCACTTTGCCCAACGGGGACTTTCAGAGTTGCTGGGAGAGAAGGCTGCGCTCGGACGCCCACAGGGTGGGGCCCGGCCGACTTCTCCCTCAGGTGCAGCAGGCACGGGGCCTGGAGAATGTTCTCGTTCCTCTGACAACAGGCAAACAGGTGAATATTGTAATCCTCAGAAATGGTCCATCACGACTGCAGCTTAGATTATATTTGTCTCTAATCCCAACACAGTCATAAAATGTGCTCTTGAGTATCTTTTATGGAGGAAGGGTCCCGCCAAGACACAAGAGCTGAGGGGCCACGGAGGTGGAACGTGGCCCTGTGTGTGGAATGGACAGAGCCCGGCAGGTGCCCAGCTGCCCACATGGGCCTGACATCCCGGCTCACGGCCCCCAAAGGGGTGTCTCAGCATCCCTGCCACGATAGGTGACAGAGGCCGGATCTCAAATGCTGGTGAAAAATCTGAATTCTTGAAAATGCCACGTGGGCCAAACAAAGCTTTTCTGGTGGCCAGAAGCATCCCAGGGACGGCCACCTGCAGCCTTCGCTGAAGGGAGAGGGGTCCTGGGGCTCAGTGGCCAGGGGCACCCGCAGAGGACGCGGTGGGCGGTGAGGACCCAGGAGACACACGGATAGGGTGACAGCTGTGGGGACATCCAAGCAAGGCTGGTCTTCCCGGCTCCCACCTTGGACCTGCGGACGCGGCGCCCCCGGGGGTCAGCGGGGAGCCTGTGTTTTAACAAGCGCCACAGGACTTTGGTACGGCTGCCTGGAGAGGCGCAGAGGGCTGGGGCGGAATATTATTTTGCAGATTGTGGAGGAAGAAATGAGTCCCCTGCGATCATTTACCAGCAAAATCCAATCAACATGATCTGTCAGAATGGACCAAATAACTTCATTTCCATTGAGAACTCTGAAGACATCCAGATCGGACACGGGAACATCCTAGTGAGGCAAACCGCCTCAGGGGAGAATGGTGAGTCCTCCCAGAGGCACCTCAGAGGGACCCGTAGGGACACCTGCTCCGTGAGCCTGGGGCCCAGAGGGGACAGTCGATCTCTGAGGAGAAAGGGCAGCTCTCACATCCCCGAAGGCATCCTTTAGGGCCTTCCTGAGAATGAGGGTCTTCCTGCACGCCTGGATCAAACCTCTCCTGCTTTCCCTTCATCCCAATAACTTTATCCTCAGTTTCAGTGGGACCTGACATTTTTCCATGAGAAATAACTCGGTTCACTCTCCCTTTGTTTGCCCTGAGATACATTCCCCCACCCCCCAGATTTTAACATCTTAGAAACTGGGACGCATCTGGCTGGTGGCGTCCTAGTTTTGATAAAATACAATCCCGCAAGATGTGCTTATTCCATGCCAGACACTGGGGAGACAAGGGACAGGGCCACCTCTCAGACCAGCCATGGAACACAGGGGACAGCATCAGCCCCAAAGCTGAAATACTCCCTTTGACCTCAAGAGAGCCCTGCCTACTCGGGGACTTGGTTTCCCCAACTGTGAAACGAGGAACTTTGTTTTAGAATCTGGACCAATGTTTCCCGAAACTTAGTCCCTCCAATTTTGGCCGTTCCCATGTTGGATTATTTACTTAATGTTGTTAGATGCTTTACCTGTTTATTCTACTCAAATTTATTTATTTTATTTTATTATTTGATATTTTACTATTTTAGGTCTTTTTAAAAAATTTTTGTTTATTTTTGAGAGAAAGAGAGTGAGTAGGGGAGGTACAGACAGAGAGAGAGAGTCAGGGGATCCAAAGTGGGCTCTGATCTGTCAGCACAGAGCCTGATGCGGGGCTCGAACTCACAAGCCGTGAGATCACGACCTGAGCTGAAGTCGGACACTCAACCGCCCGCGCCACCCAGGTGCCCCACCCAAACTTATTTTAAAGCGAACTTTGGTAGCACTACCTGACGTAAAAACGAAGCGGTTTACCCTAAAAATAAATACTGAGACAATAAAACAATGTCAAGGCTCTGAATGCTCAGTGTTGAGGGGGCGTTATAGATATGCCAGCCCCTGAGGACACTTCCCCTGATGGGCTCAGAGGATGGGGGGCACCAGCGGGCAGAGGCTGTGCTCACTGACTGGGCTTTCGATGCCCCAGTGGAGCCAGGCGCCACTGCCCTGCTGTACTCACCTGCTCCCCATCAGTGGCCTGAAATGCTCCTTCCCAGCCCGGCCGTGAGCACCAAGAATTCCGAGGCCTGACTTCTCTGTCCAGCCAGGACTTTGTATGTGTGTGTGTCGGGGGGGGTGTGGGCAGAGGGTGGGGGTCAGAGGTCATGCTCCTGCGTCCCCTGCTAGGTTCCGTGGGGCCCCTGCACCCCCCTCCAATGGCACCAGCTGGTCCCTCAACGCAGAGCTCCCCGGCTACAGCCTGGGGACCCCAGGACATCCGCTTGGAGAAGTCTGTGCTCAGACGGGTGCTGCTGGGACACGGGAACGAGATGAGCCTTCGCGGGGCCCAGGCTGGAGGCCCTGCTGCCTGCGGCCCCTCTGACAGCCCCCCAGGTACCCCACCCCGCCCCCGCCCCACCACATTGGGCTCCTCGCTGCACAGAACGAGAGCCGGTCTTAGCGGGGAGAGAGGCATGATGGGAAACTCCCTTCCTTCCACCTGGAGGCTGTCCCACAGAGCAGAGCAGGCGGGGCTTTCAGAGCGCGCACTCAGGACCCCACCCCCTACCACCCGCCCCCTCCCTCGGGAAGCCTCAGTTTCCTCATCTGTACGGCAGGCACGGGGCGGCAGAGGCCAGACCCGCTGAGGCAGGGTCAGAGATGGCCAGACCGGAATGGCATCTAAGGAGGGTGGACAGGAGCCATTAAGTACCAGGTGCTCTACTAAGACTGTCGACGGTGACCAGAGAGCCCAGGTCAAGTCCTCCCAGCCCTGGTGACCCAGAGCCAGGCCAGGGATGAAAGACAGCAGGGAGGCTGGAGAATCCCGCGGGGGGGGGGAGGGGGGAGTTTCTAGAAGCGGGCAGGCCGATGAGGTCGGGGGGCTCCATGGGGTCCGGCAGCAGGGGTCGGTGGTGAGTTGAGGGCACAGAGGATGGGGAGGAGCAGGGGGGAGACTGTGAGCAGCTCCTGCACGAAGTTGGATGGAAAGGAGCCAGGTTGGGGGGGTGGCCGCTGGGGACAGGCTCTGGTCACAGGAAGGTTTCAACCAAAGGTGGAGGTGGCGTTCGAGAGCTGTGGGGAAGCCAGCAGCAGAGGCGGGAGGAGGGCCGGTGGCCGAGTCCCAGGGGAACCTGGGTGGCGGGAACACCAGCCATCCGGGTTGTGTGCAGAGGCGCCGAGGGAGGCAGGGTCTCGGCCGTGGACCGAGCCGGGTCTGGCCCCCCAGGGGGACATTCAGGGGGGCGAGCAGGCCAGGGGGGACTTGAAAGCCAGGCTGGGGGTCGGGGCTCGGGGGCCACCACCCCGCTGCTCATGCAGCCCTCCTGGCTTCTCTGTCTCTGGCTGACCCCGCAGCCTCTGCCGCCACTGTTGGCTCAGGAGCTCCATTCCAAGTCCTGGTGCCCAAGCCAGGACCTGACTGCAAGGGGGATGGGACCCAGAGGGTCCACATCAGTTCATGCTTCCTTGAGGACACTGCCATTGGCAACAGCAACAGAATGACTGTCATCTCAGGGACGGCTGGTCCAGGAGAAGTTGCAGAGCCTGAGGACTGCCGGAGGGGCCCCGAGGAGCCGGGCAAGGATGCAGGTGAGCCTGGCACACGGTGGGCCCTGTGTTTTCTCTTTTTCTCTCATCCCCAGCCCACCCATCCACTCATCATCCCCTTATCCATCCACCCACTCACCCACCGACCCATCCATCCATCCATCATCCATCCATGCATCCATCCATCCATCATCTATCCATCCATCCATCATCCACCTATCTATCCATAATCTATCCATCCATCCAACCATACATCCATACACCTATCCATTCATCCCATTCATCCATCCATCCATCCATCCACCCACCCACCCATCCACCCACTCATTCATCCATCCATCCATCCATCCATCCATCCATCATCCATCCATTCATCGTTCACATATCCATCCATAATCCATGCATGCATGCATCCATCCATCATCCATCCATTCATCATCCACCTATCCATCCATCATCCATCCATCCATCCATCCATCCATCCATCCATAATCCATCCATCCATCCATCCATCCACAGTCATTCTCAAGTCTCCCATTTCCCAGAGTCCAGAAGGCATTAGAGGGTCATAGCAGAGAGCAGCTCTGGAATCAGTGTGTGGGGTCAAACCTTTTTAGCCAAGCGACCTAGCCCAGCACTCAGCGCTGAGCCTGTTTCCCACCTGTGACATGAGGCTGATCATTGCCTGTGGCGTCTGGTTGTGGCGAGGACTGGGTGACCTCTGCAGGCAGAGCCTCAGCACCGGGCTTGCCCTTCACATGCCTTCAGGCAGCGTCAAGAATCTTTACCATTGGCGTTATTTTAGGCTTCATAGAAGGCTTGGGGGGGGGCACAGTGAGTGACGCTCCATCTCAGGGAGAAGCTACCCTGCTGCAGCACGATATCCTCAGCAGGGAGGCTCCGCCTGCTGGAGGCTCAGCACACATGCAAGGGGGCCGCCCAGGCTGGCGGGGGGCACAGACCCCGGTGCTTCCACCTCGGTGCTGGGCCACCCCAAGGCTCTGTCTTGTCTGTGGGCAGAGAGGCTACAGAGGGCCGGCCATTCCCCTTCGACCAAGCACAAGCACGCTCCTCTCCGTCCAACGGCCTGCACTTGGCCTCAGGAGGGGCTGGGAAGTGCCGCCTGTGCCCCGCTGAGACTCAGAGGAGGGGGCTCCATGGCCAAGAGGGCGACCCTGGCGGGGTTAGCCGCCCAGCCGCAGCGCCTGGCCCCCGGCTGTGGAGCCCGGGGACTCCAGCTCGGCAGCACGGATGGAGCAGGGGGGCAGCGGCAGGGGGCGGGCGCCCCGACCGGGGCGGGGGGGGGGGGCGAGCACGGGCAACAGGTGACGACAGGATGGTGGGTGAACAGAAGCATGAGCGTGTCCCATGCACGCTCCACGGGTGGTGGAGACTTGCATCTCCCAGGGCGACGGGGAGCCACAGAGGGGCTTTGAGCAGGAGAGGGTAAGGCAGGGTTTCTGCCTTCGGCGGGGAGGAGGGATCAGGGGAGGATTGCAGCTCCGAACGCTCCGGGATTTGGACGAAGGAGTCACACTGTCCCTGGCACGGTCAGAAGCCCCAGACTGGCCGGCGTCTGGTGCCCTAGCCGGCACCCACCTCCCCGGGGCATTCGTGCTAGAAGCTGAGAGGGTCCTGCCATCCTGATGGCTGTGACCTTGAGCTTCCAACAGCGAGGGTCCCCTCTTCCTCACTTCGCAGAAGCCTCCACGGAGGCACACAGAGTTCACACAGGCCGTGAACCCCCCACCCGGTCTTAGGTGGGACCAGCCAAGACCCTCTTGATAGAAAGAAACTCAGCCCTCTGTTTTTGAAAAATAGCTAATGCTCCCAAGTTTATGCCTCCCCCAGGGCTGAGCAGTGGCACTGACAAGGCCTTATTCACCCTGTGCCCCTACACACCCCCCTCGCTGGCCTGAGGGACATCGAACTTCTCACTCAGGTGACAGGCAGGATCCCGTCCTGAGAAGTGTAACGCCCGGCAGGTTTTCATTTTCGGGGGGGAAATGGTGAATCAGGGACTGTCAGTGCCGCGGAGTGTGGCGCCCTCTGTGGGGTCCCTGCGAGCTGAGGTGCCTGGGCAGGTGACATGATCTGGGGGGCCCGGGGTGACATGCAAAAGTGGAGCTCCTCATTTAACTTTGTTAGAATTTCGAGACACGATGGGGCTTTAATCTGAGCGAGCACAGGGGGCCCCTGAACGTAGGCCCAGCCACGTGCCTGTGAAGCCGGCCCGGAGGCCCCTCTGTCATTCAGACCCCTGGATCTTCCCAGGAGGTAATGCTGCGTCTTTCCAGTGTTCGGAAGGGGTAGTTCCCTCATTCATTCACCAGTCCTGCGCCCGCCCCTGCTCTGAAACGCTCCCCTGCCTGCACGATCAGCACTGAGCACGTCAGATAAACAGTCCAGGAAGCACCAGAGACCTCGCACGGAGCACCGAGAGGCTGGCGGTGTTGACAAACGAAGGAAACAGGAAAACCCGGGGCCGGGGAGGGGTGGGCAGTGCCTGGTCCCCGGCGAGCTGGATCGCCTCGGCCCCTTGAGGTGAGGGGGCCCGTGTGTCCCCAGTGCAACATGTTCTCTCTTCCCCAGGGCCCCTCTCGGAAGGTGCGGAGTCCAAAAACGAGTCCCTTCCGGACCCGGCTTCGCCCCTCAACGCCAAGGTCTCGAAGCTCATCTCCCAACTAGAAGCTGTGACTCTCGGGAGCAGGGGTCCCCGCACCGCAGAAGACAGCGGCTGGGCGGACAGAACCCCAGATGTGGCGTCCCAGCGGGAGGTCGCACCCCAAAAAGACAGCCAGGCTCCCTCAGAAAGAGCAGGCGAACCCCAGTGAGCCCTGGGGCTATGCTTTCTGTGTTCCATGAATGTGCTTTTCCGCCTTCTTGCCTCCTGACACGGGGCCGACGAGGCTCAGCATTTGGGCCTGGTGGCTGGGGCACGTCTGACCCCACTGCCCGCCCGCCTTCACGGCTACCCCCTCTCCTCTCCAAGGCCTGACTTCCTCAAGGCCTGTTAGGGCTGCCTGACCGCTTTCCCACTTGACCTTTCTAGAACCTTCCTACCCTCTGATCTCTCAGGACTTCTTAGCTGAACTTCTAGAAAATGAATCCCTCCCGTCCAGGCCCCAGTGGGGGTCACTGGCTGTGGTGCTTGCGGGTGGGCTGGGTTCCCTTGAATGATTGTGGGCACAGCAGCGTTTCCGGAACAGAGGAATAGAGTGGGGTTCAGAGGACACTTGCAGAGGGGTGACGGGAGGAAGACAGAGAAGGACAGAGGAAGGTGGTGGTCAGCCGGGCAGGGCCAGCGTGGGCCAGGCTAATGTCCTCCACTTGTTTGGTCCGTAACACACACGCAGGTACATGTGCACCGCCCCTCAGATGCCATGCTGCACGTCACTCCCTTGTGTCTCCTCCACTGGACCATGAATGTCCAACGCCCAGGAGCAGCCCCGGTGGAGGAGGGGCGGACTCCTCACAGAGCCTCAGTAAAGGAGGTCATTGAGCAGGGGCGCCTCGGGGGCTCAGTCAGTTAAGCATCCAACTCGATTTCAGCTCAGGTCATATCTCAGGGTCTGAGGGTTTGAGCCCTGCATCGGGCTCTGCACTGACAGCATGGAAGCTGCTTGGGATCCTCTCTCTCCCTCTCTGTCTCTCTGCCCCTCCCTCACATGCTGTCTCTTTCTCTCTCAAAATAAATATACTTTTTTTTTTTTTTAATGGCTTTGAACAAACCTTTATGCCTTTCAACTTGGCTGGAAAGATCTTGAGTTCCTTGACATGCTGTGTGTGTGATCGGTGCCTGGACTAATACTTAGCACTTACGGTGTGTCCCTGGAAGGGGATGAGTCCTAAGGCACTGTTTGAGCCCCTGGATCCAGCCATGCCTGAAGTAGCATCTATCTTTGCACTTGTCCATTAGAAGAGCCCATGTGTCTGTCCCCTTAGTGGGCAAGTCGGCGCCGGGCGGATTTCAGTTTCCCAGTGTGGCGTGCCCCTCTCACCTCCGTCTCCCCCTCCCCTTAGCTCCCCGATACTCCGTCAGCAGGTCTCAGTGGAGACACGACCCGGCCCAGGAAAGCTTCCCAAGCTCTCATTCCAGCCGGTGTCTCTTCTCTGCTCCCCTCCCTGTCATACTCGCCACTGCCTTGTTCGTCGTCCGTCTCTCTGTATTATCAAAACTCACTTTGCTGTAGAGGACAGACAGCTGGGACCCGCTTCCCACAAAAGGGGGTGTACCGGCTCTTCTAATGCCCACAAGTCCAAGCACGCGTCTTGCTTCAGGAACGGGACTCCCCATCCAGGAAGTCGGACGGTGTCTCAGGACTTGGCCTCCCTCCATCCATCTCCCTGTGGCCCCCGGGGGCCCCGGCCGCCAGCCACCAGAGCAGCTGCTCAGTGGTTGGAGACACCTCTTTCCGACGGCAAAAGCCAAGTTGGGTGGCTTTGGTCACGTGAGCACCTCCCAGCTGAGGTCATTAGGCAGAGGGATGGAATGCGTGACTGGTGTCACATGATCTGTCCCGGGAACCAGGATGGGGGTAGGCCACCCCCACATCACCTGGCTTGCGGGCACGGACAGTGCTCTAAAGTAGCAGAAAAGGGACGCGGCCGGACAGGAAGGGGCTCAGAGGTCGGCCGCACCTCCCCCAGCATCAGCCAGTGGGTCACCAGTCACAGGAGCCTGGTCCCCCCACCCTGCACCTCCAGGGACTGCGGGACAGACCCCTTCACTGTGCGCCCCGCGGGCCGCCCCAGGCTGCCGGGGGAGGGAGACCAGGCCCTGACTGCGGTGAGCATGGGCCCGAGCAGGCCCGAGCACAGGGGAGCGGGGAGGGCGGAGCCCCCCCCACTGTCTGGAGGCCCCGGGGCTCTGCGTGAGGCTGAGGTCGGGTGGGGCGGGAATGAGGTTCTAGGCGAGCAAGAGCACAGTCAAGGCAAAGGGTGAGGACCGGAGCAGAGGACTCCCGCTGAGCTCCCCGGGGTGGCGCTGGGCTGGTGAAAGCGCAGTGAAAGGAAACAGGGAAGAGGTTGCCTGGGGGGAAGCGTGCTGACCGCGTGTGCCTGGGGGTTGGGACTTGACCCCCGAGCGCTGTCCTGGCCCCGCCCCACCTGTCCCCAGTGCAACAAGGAAGATGGGTTCATCACCAGGGGCATCTTGTCCCGAAGGCTGCGATTGCCTGGCCTGCTGGGGAGGGCCCTTCCCGCCACCGTGTTGACCCGGGGCCCCCAAATCATCCCCCTCACCCCCCATGTCTGTTTTGCCACATGCCCCCAGGTCTGAGGGGCTTGAAACTGGGTTTGGCTCATTGCAGTGTCTCCCCGCCGAACCCCAGCGGTGAGCCGAAAACCGCTCCCCTCGAAGTCTGCCCCAGGCCTGTGGTCAACCAGGCTGCGGGCGGAGGGTCCCCACGTGTCTCAGAACTCAGCCTCGCGGCCGCCAGCCCAGCCCAAAGCTCCGCCTCCCGCGAGCCTTCCCCTCTCTGTATAATTACTTTGTCACAAACACAAAGCACGGCCAGCAGTCAATGGTGGCTGGAGGTGAAGGTCGTCGCCAGTCTCTTCAGGAAAGAAATTAACCAGCTACCATTAGCTGGCAGACAATGATGAAGTCCGTCCACCCCCAGGCTTTTGATCCCCCTCCCCGCCCCGCTCCCTGGCACCGGGATATGTGCAGGCGGAATGTGCGGTCCCCAGACTTGGACGGGGGACTTAGACGGGGGCAGTTTGCTGCGTGAGTTAGAAGCGATTTTCCCAACCCCCCACGACCTGCTCGCAAACGCAGTTCTGTCTTCTCACCCAGCTTCCCTACATGTCTCAGGATGAGCCCAGGTGGCCTCCTCGCCCGCGGGGCCTGAGCTTGGAGGCCATGAGAGTCGAGGGAGTCACTCAGGAGCACTTGGGCTGTACGTGACAGGTACCTAGCTCACCTAGGCTTAAAAAAGAATCTGTTTGCTCGTGCCACTGGGAAATCAAGAGACAATTGGCTTCAGGAATGGCTGGATCCAGGCGCTCAAGCATTACAGTCAGGCCATCTCTCCTGTGCCTGCCAGCTGCTCGAGGCTTAGGGCCTGCACGGTTGCCAACCCCAGCGGAGTTCTTCACGCCAAATACTGCCGGGAGAATGTCCCAGGGAGGGTTCCGGGTTACGTGCTTGCGCCGGCTCGGTTAAGTGGAGCCCATGCCCGGGGCTGAGCCTTCCAGGTTCTGAGTCAGATTTCTCCAGCCCTGGTGACACACCCAAGGCCCAGAGGCACGTGCCAGCCTCTTTGCTCTGATGGATGAGACCAGGATGCCACCCAACCCGCAGGCAGCCATGCCGCATCAGACGAGAAGAGGGACAGGCGGGACCCGCATTTTGTGCTCTGCAAGAGTCCCCTGGGCGAGAGAACGGCCCTCCGGACCCCGCAGCCCAGAGAGGGAAGCAAGCTCAGGGCGGTTAGGCGATTGCACGAGAGGCAGAGACGGGGTTTGAGCCGAGGCCCCTGGGCTCCCAGGCCAGTGCTCGGACCCACGCTGCTGGGGCAGCAGTTTGGGGACACAGCCACCGGCCCGGCTGTCGCCACCTCGCTTCACTCTTTGTGACCCGGGACTCCCTCCCTCCCTTCCCCACCCCCACCTGGGACCCCGTGGCTTCGTTGGCACCAGTGGGCTCCCACCCGCTGCTGGAGGAGCCCCGGCTGGGACGGGGGATGGGGGCCTGGCTGCTACTCGTTTGGGCCTCGAAGGCCCCCCCCAGAAGGCCCGACCCCTCTCGGGGCGGCACAGCCTGGTCGGTCTCCTGGTGGGAGGTGTTGGGGTGCACAGACACAGCCGGAAAGGAGGCCCTCCCTGTCTGTGCGAGCTCTCCCTCGGGTGCCCCGGTACCAGCTCTCAGCCTCAGCCTTCTCATCTGCACAATGGGCCAGGGAGGCAGTCAAGGCCGGGCCACACGGGCACAAAGCTCAGTACAGGATGCGCCCCCTCCGGGCGCGTTTTACCCACATCTCCCCGCCGCCAGCGACTGGGGGCCCGTCCCCAGACATTTTTGGTTGTCATGGAAACAGAGGGTGGAGGTGGTTTCCTGTTACTCCTGTAACAAAAGTAACAAATTGCCACAAAGTGGTTTAAAACAACCCGACTTACTTTCTGAAGGTGCCGAAGCCTCGAAGTCCCACACGGGCCTCACGGACCGAGTCACAGTGTCGCCAGGGTCCCTCTGGAGGCTCCAGGGGACAATCCCACTTGTGTTCCCCGCTCACGGCCCCCCTCCGCCTGCCCCTCCGCCTCCCCCTCCCCTCCCCCTCCCCCTCCCCCTCCGCCCTCTCCTGAGGCCACCCGACCCGCCGGGACCTCCCCGCCCCATCCCGAGAGGGTAGGCGCGTCTGCCGAAGCCGGCTTCACGCGTGCGGTGACAGGCTCTCGGCGGGGGGACTAGGGCATGGGCATCCCTGGGGGCACCGTGCAGCCCGCCACGCAGGGGGCAGCCTCCCCTCCCCCACAGCAGGAGCCACCAGGCCCCAGATGCGTGCAGAGCGACACCGAGAACGCGGGCCACAGGGGACCTTGTCGTTTCCAAGGTCACAGCATCATGAAGACGCAGGAACGAGTGGGGCGTGGCTTCGCAGCCCTCGGAGTAACCGGCGTGTAACCTCAGGGAAACCCAGCAACTCCGAGCCTCGGTGTTCCCCTCTGTGAAATGGGCAGAAATAGGGACAGCACCTGATCCACAGAGGTTATCCTGAGGTCTCACGCGGTGTGACTCAGCCCGGGGCGCATGTGACAAACGCTGATGTCAGGGCCTCACCCCAGACCGACAGAGGACAGTCCCTAGGGTGGGGGTGGGGCCGCGCGGGTGTATTTTTAAAGGCTCCTCCTGTGGCCCCAAGGAGCGCCCCAGCTGAGATGTCCAGGGCTGACCCCGGGAGGGCACACCCAGGACACCGGTGCAGCCCCCTCGCCCAGCGTCTCGCCCTGTCTGGTGTCCGTGGCAAGGGGCCAGAGCCCAGAGGGCCCCGCCGGCTTCAGCGGGTCCAGCCTGCAGAGCTGGGGCTCAGCTTTTCACAGCCTTGGGCCGAGCGCCCTCTGGTGGCCGCCAGCCGGCAGCAGCAGGCGCTGAGCTTGGGAACTTCCAGGGCCCCAGCCTGGGACCAGGCCAGGGGTGGGGATGCCGCTCCATTCCCTCCCCCCAAAGCGGCCAGACACACAACATTCTGCCCGTGATTCTGGATGGTTCCGAGCCCCCGAAGCCCCTCTACAGATCTCAGGGTCCCGCTCCGCGCCTGTAGGCAGTGCTTAACGGAGGTCACCTGCTTAACCCTCACAATGGCCCTATGGAAGTAGACAAACTGGGATTTTGCCCATTTCACAGATGAGGAAACTGAGGCTCAGAGGAGCAAGCTTACCGCCCAAGATTAAGGGCGGGTCTGACTGGCCCCCGCGGTGCATCCACCCCCTGCGTGTCCATTCCGGGCAGTCGGGACCCTCCAGTCCAGAAGGACCCTGGGGCAGTCAGGGCACAGCTCTGTGGAGCAGACATTGGGAGGCCGGGGTGGGCTCCGTCGCCAGCGCCAGGATGTT